GTCTGCTCAGGCTGGAGGAAAAAAAAAAAAAGGTATGAATAAATCTCACTGCAGTGTTCCAATACTGGAGGTTGTGATGAAGACAGAGCAAACTCTTCTGAAAAATCAGCCAGGAAATTACAAAAGGGGCATATTGCAAATCACAAGGGGATATCTCACTGCATAGAACTAAAACAAGCAAACAAACAAGCCCAGAATCAACCCCCCCAAAAAAACACCATAGTGGGAAAATACTGCAATAGATTTCCAGTGGCTGGTGAACCTCCACCCTCAAAGTTTTGAAAATCTGCTGTACAAAGCCTTAAGCAACCAAACCTTACTTTGAAGTAACAAACTTTTTTTGAGCAGGAGGTTTTGATCTCCAGAGATGCCTTACAACTTAAATTCTAATCCAGTGAAGTCTGTTGTCACCACAGCTTTTGTCAGATATTATTGCCGGGTTAAATGATGGCACAAACTTCTGGACTGCAGCATTGTGTACTCAAGAAAACCACACTCACCTGTTTTAGGATAGCCTGCTAGAATCACATCATCACTCCTGGCTTCAAAGGATTTCATAGCTTCAAAAGTTTCTGGGCTGCTAAGTAGAGCAGGGTATAAAATACCTCTGTAGGAAAACAGCTTGTTTTCTGGGGGAATCTTTTCATTCTGTGAAAAAGAATTTTCCAGTATTTCAATGAATCTTTCCCTATTTCTGCTCATGTTTGTACCCCTGTGGAACTCTTCAAACCGACAGATACAGGCTGTCTTTCCAAAGTGCAGAAAAAGTGGATGCAACATAATAGCTAATCCAATAGGGTGTTTCACAGGAATGTAGGTACAAGTCACTGATTAACTCTGTATTCTGTTAACTCCTTTTGAAATGGCAGGAGTGGAGACTGAAAATAGTGACATGGAGCCTTTGCTGCAACAGATACTAGGAACAGGAACCTATTGGGACAACACCTAATATAATTCCAAAATGTTAAATGAAACCAAAGAAAGACCTATAAAGGATGTTTTTAACTGAGAAGTAATGCAGTGCAGTTTGCAAACTGGACAACCAGCATGTAATGGACATGCGAATAATGCGGTGGACATGTAATGGACATGTGTCCCAGCAGTGTCTGCCCAACAGTCAAGTGTCTCAAGGTAAAGCAGGTAACCCTATAAGGAGGCTGTACAACTGTGGCACAGCTCACGTGGTCCTCCGGGAAAACTCTGAGCTGTTCAATTAATCTACATGAAAATCTGCCTTGGATGGAAATGCTGTTAGCAGGAGCATTTGCTGTACAACAGGAGGATTCACCTCAGCCTTGTTTTGGAAAATTAATTGGGGAACAGACATGAGGTGGGGGAATTACTGGTAGAGGTTGTGTTTCCCTTTAGAGAGATTCAGACTCAGTAAAAATTACCTACATAATCTCTCATTTGAAAATTCCACAGGCTTAACAGTTTTGAAGATAATTATTTCCCTTGCTTAACTAAAGTAAATGTGTTACTCAGATTTACTTCCCAATGCTCAGTGTGCCTCAGTGCAAGTGAAGGCTCTTGCAATTATATCAGTGTCTGAAAACCCAAAAGCTGTCATGAAATTGCAATAGGATTCAGCCAGTGAGAATGAGAAATGTAACTCTAAAATCTATTGTGGATCTAACTGGGGAAAAACATCACATCAGGAAGTCAGACTTCATAGACTCTTGCCTGTTTCCTAACCTGGAGTGTTTGGTGACAATTAATGCAAGAACAAAACACGGACAGGAGATCAGTAAGAACATGGTAATCTGGTCTGCCATATTCCAAGATGCCTAATATGACTTTATAGTCCTCTCCCTGTACTGATAAAGTATCAAGCATGCTCATCTTCTCCCTGGCAGATACTTCCTTAAATTTCTCTGCAGCCTCATTAAGCAACATTCTCCAATTTAGACTGATCTGCAACAACAGGCTGTGATCATTATTGCTGGGTTCTTAGGTAGGATCCTTCTGTTACAGTAGACCAGTAGATTTGAACAGTTTTGTTTTTTTCCAGTATTTTTGCCATGTTAGCCTTGCTGGGTGTGATTCCTCATGTCTTTTCATGCCAACTTCAGCCCAGTTTGTACCCATTAAGTACTCGTCCCTCAGGTTTCTCTTTTCTAAATGTAGCACTTTACACCTACCTTTACTGAACTTGATGTTTGCCAGCCTTCTCAATTTGTTATGACGGTTTGAGTTGTTTCCCCATTTTCCTCGGTACTTTCAGTCCTCTGTTCTGATCCCCAGACTTAAAAGTGAGTCATATATGAAATAGATTTATTAGCCTGCCCTAGCATTAAGAAGACTAAAGGATATTGTTTTAATTGTCCTCCCAGTTTTGCTGTCATCCAGTATACGGAGTTGATCATGAGCACACTAGTGCAAGCAAATTCGTAACAGCCATGTAAATAAGTGGATAGTCCTGAAAGCACTGCTGCTGACAAACCTGCTTCTAGATGCCTTTTGTCAATGTTGCATGAATTTCTAGGAACACAAACAGCTTTGACACAGTTCATACTTATACTTTATTTCATACATATATATAATAGATATATACTTTATTACTTATACTTTATTATTTTTTTAATGTTTCATGATAGGTTGGTTGGTCATTTTTACTACTAGATATCCAGGACTCAAGTTAAGGTGACTGCTCTATTTTGATTCTTTTTTTCTCAGCTTTTTAAACAGGGATATTATGCCTGTCCTCCCCCAGGCATCTGGTACTTTTCTGTGTTCTTACTGATAATTTCTTATTGTTCAAAGATTGGTTGTGTGAGGACTTTGAAATGCTCTTCTTTTGAATAATTTTTTTCTACATATTTTAAGTATTATTTCTAGCATTCCTATTTCCTTGCAAAACTCTGCATTTCTATATCCAGACATAATAACCAGCTTTAGAAAAATTAATTTAAAAGTTACTGAATACATTATTCCTTCCAAGTGTATAGGTTTTTTTGCTTCTCATCTGCAAATGATTTATAAATTGAATCTATTTTTTTCCTGATTTTAATTCAACTATAATAAAGATACTTATTTCATTGCTTTTAACAGAACAGGTGGCTGAAGTGCAGGTGGTCCCTGGACAGGTCTGAAATCCTGTGTCCACAGTGCCAAGTACCAATACAAAATAGCTAAGTATAATAATGTCTTGCACCATCACCCCTGACAATCCCATTTTCTCAACAGAGCAAATTTCAGCAAATTTTGGCATCTATCAGTTTCAGGGAATTTTCAGTTACTGAAAGGAATCTGTTTCAGTGTTTAAGTATTAATTTAAGTTAAAGCTTAACTGTCAGCACGTATGAAAGTCAAGCATGATCAAAGAGAATGCTAACTGATTTTGTGGTAAGAGCACACCACTGGCATTAATGGTGGGAAAAAACATCTTCTGTATTCACCATGTTTTCTTCTCCTATTTTATGGCTGGAGCATGGAAAACATAAAAGCAGTTCTTAGAAGTGGCACATAGGTATATAGATTAAGGATTCTCTTAAAACACAAGAAAAATACATTCACTTCATTATTTTGCTTCTTACTAACCTTTTTACAGTTAGAAATGTGGTCTCTAGTGGAGCAAGTGAAAATTTATGTCATATTAAAAAGAAAATTATTTAGGATTTTTTTAATACAAAGAGAGAATTTTTAAGGTGCTTGGATAATTTGGTCTAGTTTTCTAGTATACAGCATTCAGATGACCCGGAAAAGCTCTTCCTCTAACCACAGTTCACAACTCCTCAGATTTTACAGTACACATCATACTTTAACATTGTTCCCAGTTTAGTTCCTCCTATATGTTCTTCAAATGCTTTGTCCATTTTCTCATTCTGATCTTCACTGAAAAGATTCTTCCAGTCACGTATAACACCTTCAAAGAAGCAAAGAAATTCTTGAAAAACAATATATTTTATTATTTTTTATTCTATAGATCTGTCATTCTTGTTCCATTATACACTTAATGGGATTGATCAGTTTTTCAAGACAAAACTTCATTCATTTTTGCAACAATATAGTTTTGTGAAGCCAGTGAAGTTGCAGATCCATTAAATTGCTATAATGCAAAAGAACACTCCACAGAATCACAGAATTGTCACAGTTAGAAAAGACCTCTAAGATCACCAAGTCCAACCACCCACCCAGGAGAAGGAAAGAAAAAAAAACCAAAACAGAAAACAAAACAAAAACAAACAAACAAACAAACAAAAACCACCAAACACAACAAACCACACATACCATGCCTACTAGAGCATGGCCTGAAGTGCCACATAAAACGTTTATTGAATACCTCCAGGGATGGTGACCCCACCACCTCCCTGGTCAGCCTGTTCCAGTGCCTGAATACTTTTTCAGTAAAGAATTTCTTCCTAATATCCAGTCTAAACCTCCCCTGGCAGAACTTTAGGCCATTTCCTTTTGTCCTGTAGTTATTCACTTGGGAGGAGAGGCAGGCTCTTCAGGTGACTTGGTCCAAAAAAGGCCTGTTTCCCAGCAGGTCTCTATTCCAGTCAGTTTTGACTGACAAGGTGGTTGATCACGAAGGGTTGATTAAGAATCATCTGTCAGAGGGCAGAACTGGGATTCTGGTCCCTTGGCATCTTGAGTTTTTATCCAGTGACTTCTTTAATGTAAAATGCAGAAACAGATTCTGACAGCAAGCTTGGCCCTTTTATGTTTGCCTCCCCTGCACTACACTACAAAAGCAGTTTTCTTATTTCCCCTTCTCTATGTACCTGATTCTTGGATGTTTGGCTTAATTATAACCTGTGAGTGTGAACAGGGGGTTGCCAGCAGCCCTTTCAGCAGATCCTACAGTCTCCTAAAAAGTGTGATCATGCTGCTCAGGGTGATTTTGGCCCCATTTTGTCTACTCAGAGAAGCCTTTCGTGGCTGAAGAATCAGTGATTTAAGCGCAGAGATGGAGTGCAGTTCTGACACATGACAGTTCCTGCTTCCTGCCACTCATCTTTGGGCCTCTAAAATTTGCTCTTTGTAGTTGCTTCTACTGTGCTGACAACCTGCTGCTAGACTCTTACTGGGTCCCTTCCTCAACAGTGCTCCCTTGACTACTTTTCTGAAGCATAACAGTGATAAACTGCTTGATACTAATCTGTGATGCTAACGTGTGAAAAAAAAAAAAAAAAAAAAAAAAAAAAGAACTAAAAGATGGGTGGCCCAAGCTTTTGAGGTTGTTACATTTCTGCCTCTGGAACTCTTGGAGCTTCCTACCTTTGCGAAAGAAAACATTAGCATATGCCCCATGGGTCTTCTCTGAGTTCTTCTTCATGGACTGGAAGCTGCTTCTCTCTACCACAGTCTGAAGCTCTTCCTCAGTCAGGGAAATCCCAAAGAAAGCAGCGATGTTTTTCACACCCAGGACTGGATTCTGAAAAGAGTAATGTAATGTGCCACGTGACAGCCAAAAAAAAGCACTGCTTTCCAAGGTGTTTACACTTCTCTACATCTCCTTGCTAGATACATATATAGAATATTCATAGAGTTCAGTAGGACTGGAGTGATACATAGTGTTTCCCTCCTCCATAATTATTTCAGAGTAGACATGAGCTGTCTTCCCACAGATCCCGAAAGATGACACGTGATTTACAGTTGAGTAAAATCTACACTACTGAATAAATTAAAGCTCCCAAAAAAATTACTGGGGATTTTGACTTCGGGCTTAGATCACAGCTAAAGAGAAAACAAGAATAACTTTCACAAACAAAATTTTTAAAAGGTTTTTAAGTTTGAATTTCATGTGTCCTTCCCTTAAAACAAGAATCTATCTCATACAGTATCTTGCAGTTTGAATACATTAATATAATTAATACTACATTAATATAATGGTTAATTGGTTTCAGAACAAATACTTTTAGAAGTATAAAACACTTTAACTATTGGTAAACTCACCTCTTTTAGCTCTTCGTAAGTCATTGGCATAACATTTTCATCAGCAGCATATTTGTTCCATTTGGAAAGGTATTCAAAGTAGCATCCCCAGGCCACTAAATAAAACAAAAGAAACCTACAATGAAGCATGAATTAAGATTAGACAAGATCTTTATGAAATAAACCAATTTTTACTCCTCAAGTTGATCCCTCAGCCATGAGCATTATTAATCATGTCTATGCCAGAGTTTACACCCTTCTGTGAGAATTAAGGCGTTTTGCTCCAGTCTGTTCTGATAAGTGCACACTTCTTGAGCATATGATACAATTTGAGACATGAGTCCACTGAAGACCTACCAGTACTCCAACCATCTTGCAGTCTCCCTCAATCAATTTTAAAACATGGTTTAATCCTCCCTTCAGCTGGCCACGTGATATGCCAAACTGAAGAACTTCTGCAATTTTAAACTAGTGAGATTATTTTCTTTCTTTTTTAATGCACTAGACTTGGTCCAAATCATTCCTCTGTTCCAGCCTGGCATGTAGGTGTTCAGACACCTACATGGGCACAAGATGGTGGACACTGGAGAGGAGGAGTGATGGGGATTCAAGATAGAGATAAGGAGGAAGTGCTTCTTCAAAAGAAAATATCAGGTTTTTTTAAGTTAAAGCAGTTTGTGGGAGTGTTTTTTATAAGGATTTATCCTAAGGCAATAAGCACAGTAAGTAATCTTTAGTTTAAATTTCTATTTCTTTAATCTGCTTTTGTACTGTAAACCACAAAAGCCTAGTGAAGCTCATTTACAAGTGCAAGGTTTTTAGGCAAAGTCAATGCACTGAGTAAGTGATACAAACAGAAGATATATTGTACTTTTCTTTGTCATGAAAGCTACAAAGAAATCATCCCAGGTCTCATAGGAGGGAAGCGTAGCTACGCCATTGGCAAAATGGTAAAAAGATGTAGCTACATCCTTTGGATTGCGCATCAGCAACAATATCTAGAAAAAAAAATAAACATTATTTGTAGACAAAGACGTAACACAGTATAGTATGTAGAAAATAATAATCTACCTCATAACTGCAGTTTGAGGAATTCCTAATACCTTGTATACCAGTTGCAGAAGTAGCCATTTCATTCTAATTTCAGAAAATGAAATATTTCATTTTGCTTCAGTGTCTTGCGAAGACGATTGTCTATAAATCTTAAAAATCTTTTACAGATTAATCAAATTGATCATGCAAAATCTAAATAATTTTGCTCAATACAAGCATCTTTCATCATTTAGGTAGTGGGGAAAATACACAAAACCAGAAATTTCTGCGAAAACTCGACACACTGAAGCCCTCACTTATGACAACACTATAAAATGCCTCCTGTAGGAAATTGTGTGAAAATACATTTTACTGCTGGAGCATTTGTTCGACTTCCCCATCCTTCTGGAGAATGATATGAAGGCATCAATAAGGGTGAACTGAGATTAAGTGTGAAAAACAGCAGTACTTAAACAACCATGTATAAAAGGTCAAGCTAAACACTTAAGTATAAGAGTGATTATGAAAATTGGCAGAAAAGTACTAAATTGGCTTTTAAAAAAATCTGTGGGAGTGTTTGCTTTCAAGACATTAAAATCAGCACTCACCTTGGCTTTATTTTTGAAGACAGACCTGGGGAGATTTTCAGGAAGGAGATGAGTAATCATAATTCTTCGAGAAGGTGATTTGTTCATTCGCTGTAAGAATTGCATGGAGGAAAGAGGGCAGTTCAATTAGTACAAATATTCTTTCCATCAGCCTACAATAAAATATTGCCTTGCTAAACTTATCAACAGTTACTGGCTGACAGCAGTAATTACTTTTTGTGTTATCCTGGGATCTTAGTAGACTGCTCTGAGCCGTTCTAGTCTTCAAAATCCCCTGAGAATGAGTGACTGGAAAGATTATCCAGTGCTAATTCTCTTCAGTGATAATAAATATAATATGTTCTGTTAGACAAGGGATCAAATCTAAAGGTAAGATGCAGACTCGAACTGGGTGTATGTGAAAGCTGAAGAATCTCAAGGAGAGAGAGAAGGGGTGAGGAAGAAGAGCTAAGTAAAGAGACAAAAGCTGGTATTTCAGTATTTGACATTTCATTAAACTCTTCTTAAATACAAAACATGCTACACTGAATTTCTGCAGTTCTTGCTTTCTTGCTTATCTAATGATTATGTGTTCCTCTCAAGCCCTCTGAATTGTCCATTTATCCCTCAGCATTTGGCAAGGCAGATGAGATCCATGCCAACCACATGCCACATACAAAGAAGTGGTAGAGTTCTTATCAAAAAATGGAATATTTCACAAACCATATATTCAGTATTAGAAGCACAACTTTTTGACAACTTTCATACCTATTCTGTGCCCACCTCATATTTTTCAGTATCTCCAATTTCAAGGTAAGGAAATTCTTCTATTTCTTCATCATTCCCACTGCTTGCTTTATTCTGTGTTTTCTTTTCAAATATGGCTACCAGATCATTTAAGATTTGAGCTACCCAGTTTGTACCTGAAAGGGGAAAAATACAGAAATATTTTTTAAATCTTTAGAGTAAACAGAAATGGATTTGCCCAGAAAGCCAAGAGGTTGATAGTACTACTAGGTGAAGCTGCCTGGTCGGCTTTCATGTGACACAATCACAAGTGACTATCTGGACAATAGCTTCTTAGGATCCTACCTTTAAGGATACATTCCTCCAACTCAAATGGCTCATCAGTACATTGTAAATTAACTTGTATATTGTAGATTAACTAATAAAGGAGAAGAATCACTAAGATTCAAATAGGAAAACACACACTAATGTAATTTTTTAATTTTTTTTGGTGACAATTATAAGGGGGATTGGGGTGGTAAACTGGTTCCTCAAAACCTGACATATTATATATGTTTTCTGATGTGCTGTTCAGGATTATTTTAGGAGAAGAGATAGATCACAGAACCTGGACACAGGAGCAGAACTAGATCTGAAAATTCTGCTGTATGTGCTCATTGTCTTTACCAATAGGCAAAAACTCTCTAAAGTTACATTTTCTATAAACATACATATTTATATTTTTATTCAGAACATTACAAAGAGGCTGTAGAGAACTCTTATCTTTAGTCTACTATCTCCTGACGTCTAGACACTGGGTTCCTATTTTGTTGTCACTACAGTCTTAATAACTGTGTTCTGATGCATTTCTTCTAAAATACATGATAGGAAAGCAAAAACTTTACAATACTGTCAGTTCTGACTATCTACTGTGGCCAGTGTGAATTCAATTGCTGGGGGAGAGAAAAAGCTACATTAAAATGGATATGATATATAACTAATATAACTATAATATATATATTATATATATATATATATATATATACATCTAATCCAATCCTGTAGCTCTGATATGGGCCTGTAGAGAGAGAAAGAGCAAAGAAGCAGGGTCAACTTGCAACCCTAGCAAAGATCTCTTGATTTCCCCAGTCAAAGATCAGTGTGATCATTTCCAGTGCTTCAAATTTCTTTTTTATAGTTATGGATTTCAGATATTCTTGACATCTATGTGAAATAAAATAAAGAATATGAAGCATAGCATGTGAAGGTACCAAAAGTGCCATTCTATGTAAAAATATAAAGCTATTAAGTTTGCAAATATAAATGTGAAAGAAGATCCTGCAGGAGATGCAGTTATTTCTGGTGTAAGAACTGTATGTTAATTGTCTCTAATTTGTGCATTTACTTCATTATTAAAAGTAAAGAGAACAAAAACTTCTACATTCTGTAGAAAAGAAAACCAGATGTCTTTTTCACAGTCATTTGAAAAATTACCTATATTAAATCTTCATAATTAACTTTGTTGTGTTCTTTGATAACAACATTAGTTCTAAAAAATTCTATGAAAATTCTAAATACTATCATTTAGTACAAACCTACTTATTTGCCACCACACAATGTTATTATGAAGAAAAAAACTACATTCACCAGATTTAGGGTATGCTGCCAAAATTATATCATCACTTCTGGCTTCAAGGGACTCCATGGCTCTGAATACTTCAGGACTGCACAAAGTAACAGGGTAGAGAATCCCCTTGTAGGAAAAAAGCAGTTCATCACGATCCATTTTGCTAGCAGCCGCCACTGCATCATCTATAAGACCAGTAAATTTTTTCCTGGGCTTCTCCATTCTTCTCTTTCTCTCACACACACACTCTCACACACAGTAGAAAAAGCTATGCAGAGACAGAGCACCACGGACAACCTTTTAAAAGGGAGTTGGGTTTGGGTTTTTTATGACCCTGTGAGCAATAATATACTTGCTCTTTCTGAAAGAAATACGCAACTCCAGCTGAAGACCTTTAGTCATTTGAACCTTTTGAAATCAATAGTAGTTGCATAACAAACCAGAAAATGCAATTGTTTTCTAGGTAAAAGGGTTTAGCTAACTTCAAAATATTGTGCCAAACAATCTGTAACTACAACACAGACTTTACAAACAAAATATAATGCGAATTGCAGGCTGGGATTTAAATGACATGATCACATTCCACAGCAGTTCTGCACTTTCCAGTACTCATGCTGCTGGGATTATTTTTTTTAAAAAAATATTATATTTTATTTTTTCATTTCTTATATCACTCATCATTCTCATCAAAATGGGATCAAACATGTTACGATTCAGAGAGAAAACATTCAGTGTGTTACTTACTAAGCTGTGGAACATCTTGTGAGAGTAACCAATTGTGCCTTCCACCTGGTGCCAAGGAGGGCACATGGGGACACACTCTCATTGGTCTTTGTGGGGCTGCAGTACAGAGTTCTGGCTTTCTGATGGCTACGCTTAAATGATTCATTCGTATGTGTTCTTTCCTTAATGAGCTCAAACACTGTTTAACAACTGATCAGACATTACAGAGTTGGTAATAATATAACCTCAGCTACAATGATTAGCATTCATAATGCACTACAGATGATGAGCTTCTGATAACACTGACCTCAGTAGAATAAAGGAAGTTTGACTAAGTTTTAATATTCAAGTCTCTGGCAAGAGGATGAGTCACAAGGAACAAGAAAACAGTTCCCCAAAAAAATTCATGTCATACATCTGAATACCATTCTTTCTTATCTCCATGTTTCAAATGCTGCCTGTTGGGTACTTGGAGCAGGAGGACCAGCGACTGCATACCTGTTTGCTAACCTCAAAGGATTCACACCTGGTTCCTGAGGCATGCTGCAGTGCTTGTGGGATGACCTAGCTTTGTATTTTTACTTCAATTTTGTTGAGTCCATAGAAATATTTTGCTTTTCCCTTCATTTCCTCTCTTCTGTAAAACTATGGCAATATCAAAACTACCTGTGTGCAGGTGTCATCTGAACAAGTGGACATCAAATGACTCCTCCTTGATCCATTTGTTGAATGAGATCTGTGCCAAAGCACAACCAGTTGGCACCACCTGCATCACTTCACTCATGTTATGTAAAACCATGAAATAGCATCTTTGCTCCTTGAAGAGTAATCAACCACCTCAGAAAAAGAAGAAAAGCAGCACGCTCTAATTTTTTTCTTCAGCTTCCTTTGGCACTAAACTATCATGGGCTGAAGCTAAGAAAATGTGTTTAATTAATATTTTTACCTGCTGACAAAAAAAGGCTAGAGACAGTACACATTCCCTAAGGAAGCAAAAAAGGGGGGAAATGGTATGTACATTATTAATGTATTTCATGAAATAGCATGGTGTTGGAATAGAATTTCCATGATAGAAAGACAGCTCATTTCACTGCTACACTTCATTCATCATAGAATAGTCCAAGGAAACTTTGATAGAGAAATCTACAGGACTTCCAGAGCATGCTTTAACCTTAGAAACCAAAAAAAAACCCACAAAAAAAACCACAACAACCCCTGCCCCCCCCAAAAGAATAATAAATAAACCCAAACCAAAACAAAAGAAGCAGCCAAAAAAAAAAAAAAAAAAAACAACGCATTAGTGGAGAAAAGACAATTAGAAGATATAAGTATCAGAAGGAATTTTGAGAGTTAAATTTCTTAGGGAAAAAAAAGCAGGATCAAGATTTAGCTATGTGAGCCTTTGAAACAACCATCTGCCTCTACACCTGAGCTGGGAGGAGTGTACCTGGCACCATACATGTTACGTATGTGTTACCCTCTGGTCCTGCCAAACACCGAACTCAGAGACTGACGGAAAATATCAGTTGATTTAAAGTTTCTAAAAAGCAGCTTTGAAAACACAGAGATTAAAAACAGATTAAAGGATTTTGTAATCTTCAGATTAACGGTATTTGTTGTTCAACTCACCACAATGCCCCTAAAAGTTCCTGACTTTCCACACGTATCAGACCTGGTCTTTCCTGATTGTGGAGCTTTGCAGAAAGAGGCTGCTGACCTTTTCTGTGACAGCTGCAGCACACTGCCAGCTGACAGTTGCCTAGTGGACAGATCTACCTATGTAAAACCACTCCCTGTTAAATGAAACAACAAAACAATACCCTCTAAACTTGTGCTCTCAGGTGGTAAAAGAGAAGAGGTGAGTTTCTATAACTATTCTTATGATTTGCATTAATCTCAGTAAAACTCTGGAGAAGGCTTCCATAAATTAGTCCTCCAAAATGACCTAATAAAATTGAAGATGGATCCATTAAGATTGCTCCATTCATGAAGGTACCCTAAAATCCTCCTGATCATCCAAATGCAAAAAAAAACCACCAAAACCTCAGGGGGAGGGATATTCCTATGAATGAGTTCATGAATTGTAGGGTTTAAAGTAGAATTAGTTCTACAATAGAAATGCCATATGTGGCATTTTTCCCTTTGAATAATTTAGCATCTACCTGATCAGAGGGAAGTAAAAGCCCCCACAGACCAAGGTGGTAGGATGTCTCAGGTTATGTGATAAAAAGTTGTCTGCACAGCCACAAAGGAACACAGAGAAACAGTGGAGGAGGAGCCCAAATAGTACCCTGCCCAGATACTCCCAGGCCCACTACAGCAGCCATCAGCCCATCAAACACCTCTCTATACAAACCCAGAGGAGCACAGGAGACAATGGCAGGCAGAATCCAAGTTAAGGACTCAAACAAAGGGACTCCTTGTCCTGTCCCCTTCTAGGGCCATCCCAGGTGAGCTTCAGCCCCAGTGTCCTGGTGTGAAGATGACTCATCAAGATGACCAGTGCTGGAGCACCTTCTGAAGACTGGCAGAGACTGCTACCGAGGCGTATAGGCATATAAAGAAATGAAAAGGAAAATACTTTCATGATTGCACAGGACTTATTATGTCAGGAGTACAAGACAGGTGTGAGACAACTGCCACAAAACAAAGTATTTAGCAACCTGCATGACACTGTTGTTACTTATAAATATTTTATAAATACAGAAAAAAAAAAATTTAAACTGATTAAAAATAATTAATCCTCAATACATGACCTGGGCTTATTTTCTTGATGACTCTAAAAAAACTGTTTGAGCTGGAGTCTAATATGTTATAAAATTTTCTAGGATCCTCCTTCATCTTTTGTTTTCCTCCTGAATTGCAGAGTCTTTGTGATTATCACCTTCACTGACCAGGACAAAGCTCATCACAACATGAGATCAGACCACTATCCCTTGTCTACAGAAGTATACCCAGCTCTGTCTGCTACCCAGAATTTCCCACATCTCTTCTAAACTTTCCTCTCACAGCTTATTTTCAGCTTCAGCTTTGTTGTCTCTGGAAAGTTTTCACTCTCTTAATCCCCTCTCTGGAACAAGGTAGGAAAACAAGCAGTTTTCCACAGCTTTCATGAACTCAATGTATTGGCTAGTTGACAAAGCAGAGATGCAAAGGTTAACCTCTCTCTCCCTCCTGTTAATAATCCACTAGGTAATAAGAAAGAACATGCCAGTAAAAACAGAATTTAATGACACACAGTGCTGGAGAAATCATCTTCTAACATTAATCTGAAGATGTCAGCTGCATGTTAACAAAACCCTCAAGCCATCACCAAAACAGATTTATTTCCTTGCTTGTTTGTTTTATCTGATCTTTCCCAACTGTGTCGGTGAAATTAATTCAAAAAGTTGGAAGTCTCTGACTAGATATTTGTTACCAAATAAACGTGCAAATGCAAGAGCAAGGCCAGGGACCTCAGGAAGTCACCTGTTGCCTCACTGTGCATCTATACAACCTGACATTAAAGGAGAAAGGGAAAGAAACAGGAAGGAGGGAGCAATGAACACTATTATGGAGGATTCTCTGATCCATGCTAATGCACTAAATGTCCTATTTCCTGTAAAACTGTCATTAATCCCATTATGGTCTACACCCCTGAAATAATCAAAGTTCTGTAACCTTTAGTATAAAAGTCATTATATCGTACAAACAAAGTGTTAAGTGGCAATACAAATGAAGCCAAATATACAAGGGCTGTAGTGTGTACTGCTGAAAGCAGAGTTGGGACATGGAAGGAGGACACAGGGCTTTATGTTCATACCCTCCTACTCTCATAGTGAATGGAGGTGAGGATACAGGAGAGAGGAGTTGGTGTAAGAGAACTGAGAGGAAAAAAATAATTGAGCATCCCTTCCCTTAGAAATACCCAATTCACAGCTACCTATGGGTAGGTTAGCCAGACTGAAGATTAATGGTAGCTTGTGCAGGAACTAGAGTTTTAAGCTCAGAATATCACTGTGTGTGGCTAAGTGCCTTCCAGGGTAAATTTAGCAGCATAGGCCTTTTTGGTACCATCACCTCTAACAAACTCTGAGAAACATAAGTGGCATGCAGATCATCTCTGGATGTCTTTCCTGCATTTCCTAGTTCCCTGGGAGTAGTGCTGGACCAGGCTTACTCCAGCACTTGTGCCTTAGAAAACATTTTTTTCCAGAAGCAGCACATGGAGACCCCAGTACAGAGACACCCAACCACTTCCTCAGAGACCAAACTGATGTCAAACAGGCAATTCAAGACACAAGCTAAAGCAGCCACATAATCAGACTTTCCCAGTCTGAACACAGATATATCATAATCTCCTGGTTTTCCTGCCTCACTTCATGCACCACCTCATCGTTTACAAATGACAAAATTTCCACATTGCAGTTTCTTTCCAAGCAAACCCCGTTGCTCATAAACAACAAACTATGTCTGCAAAGATGCATTTGCCAGACTAATTAACCTTTCCCTCCAGTGCC